TAGCCTAATGATTTTTATTATGGGAGAACATGAGTGTCTATCAATCAACTTATACCCGAACAGTGTCTGCAAGGTTTGCTTTCAAATTTTATACTGAAACTGGAAACATTGCTAGACTCTCAAGACTGCCTAATGAGCAAGTCTTTACTCAGAAAGGACAAGATAGTATCTCTTAGAGCTCGATTTTGCTACCACTGACACATAGTTACCCTACAGGGGACATATCCGTTTCATGAACTGGATATCCTTTCTGTGCAGAACTCTGTATTTTACCTTACATATCAGCTATAAGGTGGAACCCTTAAACGGTGGTTACTGGAATTAAAATCTGATACCTACAAGAAGTCAATTAACAGCTACCTACATTCACCTGAAGCTGCAAAGAAGTGTTTACCGCAAAGGAAGCGTGCACGGCAAGCCAACGCAGGCAGGTCGCCAATCAATGACTGTCGCCCTACTTATAATCTTTCCCCAATTTATCCTCATGAAAAAAGCCTATTCTCACCTATAATCACGACGTACCAAGTCTCCATTTTCACCAGTTACTCCGAGGTTGTCTAATAATCAACAAACTGCCGCTAAGAGGTACAGTCTAAGCGTTTAAATATAATTAACAAACCTATGCACTAATGAAGTGATATACAGATATCGATCTGAGTGAATGGCAGTCCCCTCCCAAAACCCTATTAGGACCCGCTGGAACACATCGCTGTTTAAGAAAACTCTATGCTTAATATCAAGTTGTCACATTTTCTTTAACATTAAACAAGATTTAGGTTAACATTTCTTCCTATTAAAAAAAACTCCATAAAACTTGTCAGCACTTAGCCCTCTAAACACAAACTTTTAGAAGTTAAAAGGTTCGATTTCCTAACCTGAGAGCTCCACAGCGTCCTGAAAGGGAAAAAAGAAATACGTAACATTACAAGTGACCAACGTAGCTATTTATTGTATCTAGCATTTAAAAATCGTAACAACGAAACTATGTGACATAACAGTGTATGCTATGAGCAATGTATACCATTCACCGTCTCTTACTGCTATTACTTCATCGGCGTTACTGGTTCCATGCCGTTAATGAGTAACAAATTAAACCCTCAGCAGTGTTACCCTAGCAGACGAACAGTGATGTAGCGGTAAAAAAAAACACTTAATACCTAAACGTCCATGCAAAAAGCGTATGCACTTTGAAATAGAGGGAGTACACAAACTTTTACGCATCTGCATGTTTACATCTCACTTTAGAATTACCGTCTACGAACAATTAACAGTCCAAACTAAGATCTGCGTGAGACACTCACTAATCAATTCCCAGACAACTTTTGTAGTTATTGGAATTCAACCTTTTCAGAACGATATATCATATATTTGCGACTTGATCTTCATGGGTTTGCGGACAGCACTAATCATCACTTGAACATCTCGGGGTTTCATCTCGGAAAACATAGGTGGCGAACAAAATCGCCCAGCGTCCTACACACTTAGATGGAGAGAGGTGACTGAGTGACAGTGAGTGAACGAGAGTAAGCGCCAAAATAGCGTTAACTCTATCTTGTCATATGAACACCTGAAAACGGACATTGGCTACTTTGATACGTGAACACAACACGCTATACTGCAAGTATTAAATGATTTCGGCTTGTTTCATTTGGGCAGCTTTATGATGGTATCGTTCCGACCCCTGAGCTAACACAATATGCGAGGAATCGAAGCAAAGTTGCACAACACCATGATATCAACTAGTTCTTATGTTTAATCCCAAAATGTGATTCAAACCATACAACTTTCCCAATCGAACTCATAGGATTTTCGCAAGTTCACTCAGTTAATATCACCCGGTTTGATAACAGCTCAAGGACAACCACCACATAGTGGGACTGCGCCGTTCAGCCCCAATTGACTGTACAGACACACGTCCATCAACTGGCAAAGGCCCAACTGCATACCCGCGACGCGAGGAACCTACGTCTGGTCATAGAACACAAGCCACCTTACATGGGATGATGGAGTACTACACAGCACCCGAATAAAACAAGCCGATATCTGGTAACCGCCGCCAGGTTGGTTCTATCTCGAAACCAAAAATCACCAATCACAGAGCCTTTACGCAACACCAACCTTACAGTCCTACGTTGGACGCTTCACAAGCTGCTTCATAAGGCTTGCTACTCGCTGAATTGAAATCCACGGAAATCCATCACAGAATCAGATTTAATTTCAACCGATGAATAGCACTGTAGTTCAACGTTTTCTCCAAGATCGCCCATTATGACCAATAAGTTTGCGAAAACCAGTTAACAACCAGCTAGAATAATACATCATAGCTCGACTGTATGAAAATTGAAACAGCCCACCGGACTACAGCTGCTCGCAACTCCACGGCCGTACGCGTCGAACAGAATCAGTCGAATGAATCGACCATCCTGCCATGCAGCTTATATACCCAGCCACGCCCACTATCGATCCGATGGGCCATGAAATACAGTGGTTAGTGAGGAGACGGTTGATTCTTGAGCGATGAATAACGTAGTTGGAAAGACGCAGACATAAATAGTTGGTTGTCACATCATGGAGGATCTTGGAGAGCACCGACCACGAGAAATGGCCAGCGGCGCGACGCGTGCGGCTGAAAACATTCGCCACGCTCGAGTCTGGAACATTCCTTCGCATCGATTGAGCGGTAGTTTCGAAATTGGGGAGGTTCGGAAACAGGAACCTTTCGAAAATCCTTGAAAGCGCATAGTTTCGAAAATAAACGGGTTCTTTTCGAAAATCCCATTAGGCCTGGGGACCAAGCGTCAATCGATAGGAAGGCATAGCGTGTTATAGCAATGCTGCGAAAGAGCTGCAGAAATTTCGAGACTTCAGCCGATGCACTTAAAATAATATATTATGTTCAGTAATGTTACGTCTTACTTAATGAGCAAACACGAAGAGGTCAATACAGTGTTTATTTCACAGCTGTTGTTGTTTCGTCATTTGTTACTTGGATACTTGCATCGTCCATCTTCACTGGCTGTGCTCACCGCAGCATAATTCCCATTTATACGGAGTTTTGCTGATCTAGCCACTGTGGTTCCCTGGAGCCCCGAGGACAGCCAGACAGAGGAGTCGGAACGCTATAACAGGGTTGAAACGGAAAGATAAGGAAAAGGAAATTATTGTGTTCATCGCAGTTCACGGTCTACTAAAGGTATTCAAAACCGCAGCGGAAGCTATTTGCAGAGGAAGCTTTTCGTGGACAGAACTCCAGACGGCGACTTGTTGTCCATTTATTAGTAGGACTAACGAGTGGTGTTTGGATTTCTGTCTTTCTCTCCTTGGTTTAGACAGATCTTTTTTAGCTATACTGTAGGTACATTCGGCTCTTCTTCCAATTGGTTGCTCAGACGTGCCTGGTGAACGAATGGATTTATAACGAACATGTGGAGAGAGCCTAGCTGAACGACTTCAAGCTGGACTTCTGCTTGCACTGCACTGGATACGGCAGTGCTTTGAGATCATAAATGTAATTTTGTTGAAGAGCTAAGCCGCCAGGGATTCAAGAAATAATATAGAGCAGCACGTCCGAAGTACGCTGCTGAACGTGCCAGAAACGTTTGTGCTAAGGTTTACGTAAACAATGTAACTACTTTCGTGTACATATATGAATGAGCTCTGGATAAGCTTCCACGATCCCGATCGTAGGTTAGATTTGCAAGTTGTTATTTTTTTTTCTTCGATGACTCGTCTTCAGATTTTCTACGCGTATGTCAGCACTTCTTGCCTTCGGTTCATTTCATCGCATCCATCCTGTATCAAAGTCTTCGAAGTTTTGGTTGTAACTTCTGTTCTTGCTAGAAAATTTTCGTTTTCTTTATGAATGTTGTTGAAAACTAGTTAAGTCGGATCTCCCTGGAAACCTTAGGTAACCGCGTTAAAGGCTTCTCACGTGGAATTGTGGGAGTGGGATTTTCTCATGCAAATATAGTACCAATTTCACTACTGCGAAAAGATGAGACACTCGATGAACTCAGTGCTGGTTTTTTGGTTTAGTATATTGTAATGGTATGAGTATAATTAATAATATTGTAATGGTACGAGTATAATCAATAATCATTCGGATCTGACAACTAACTCAAACTAGTGTATTCCACGAAACCAATTCTCTATGATTCTTGTGCGTTGGCCTAACAGCTAGAAATTTGATTCATTGACCGTCACTACAGTACTATCTAAGCAGTATAGAAACTCAATTACTATTTTTCGAATAATTTTAAAGAATGTTAGGTTATAGACTGTTCTAGTAATCTAATACCTACTGCGATTTTACGAAATATCCAGATCTATTTCTGAGGTTCCGGTTTCCTTATTGATCTGGCACGAGTTCTCTGGATGTCTTCAGCTATAATGCCTTTTATTGCGGTTTTCATAACGCTAATTTTGTTATATCTTAGTAGAGTTAAGGTTTCCAATATAGGAAGAAACCTCGAAGTCGAGCACAACAGGGAACGCAACTTCGCGCTCTTTATCTTTTTATGCTACATCCTTTACGCCTTGTTAGCTCTCCAAGATGTTCCGCTCTTCTTGTTCACCTCCACTATTAAATGATTCATCATATTCATACTAACCAGAAGTACACAAGGCTACAGAACCCGGAGGTAGTCGTTTTGATGATGTTGACTGTACCATAAAAGTAAATTAGTTTTCATATACATCATTATACCTGGTTATACCTAGTTCAAACAGGAACCGTGAGTTCCACACGCCATCGTTTATTCGATCCAATGGAGACGACACAGGCAAATCGACGATGGTTTGGTTGCTGGACATAGATTTTTACTCCTATGTTGTCACATTCTAATTTGCATATGATGTCAATTTTTACACTATGTAAAATACATGCTTTTATAGACACCTCAATAATGTGAACACACAAAAGTATACTCTTTGATGACTACAAAAAGTATTAGTACTGGAAATCTTTGTGACATAAAATGGAGATCAATCGACAATATCAATCAGAAAGCCAAGCAAGTTGCAGTAGCATTTGTAAGACCATACATAGATGGGTTCGCATAGATGCTGGCGACACATTTAAGCTTGTTGTCCTTATTCATCAACACAAACTCTTCTGGATAGTGTTCGGGTTCAAAGTATGGTATCAAACCTGAAAAAGACGTTCTGAAGCTGAAAATGAGGTACTCTATTTCCACTGCTGTCTTGTTGGTAGTTTGTTACAAAACTTCTTAGTAATGAAAAGGAAAAGATGAAATAGGAATAAGCGCCAATTTTAATAGAAAAAAAGAAAAAATTAAAGAAAAATTTAAGGAGATTTGACGAGCTCTCGCACAAGGCTCAGTTATACACAATGAAGGAACTGGAAACAATATTAAGGAAATGTTGCTGTCCTATTCCAAGCTGTTCGTTGTTCATCGCTTATGGAACAGTGCTCTGGGTGCCGCACTATGATTCGTTGCTGCTTATTCGACTAACTTAATGATCAGCGGTATTAGACTAACAGTTTCTTACAGTTTACAGATGATCAAAGAGGTCCTTCTTCAACCTCAACTACATCACCTCCATATGGAGCAGGTACACAATCACACGGTTGTTCTTTCCACGTTGTGCTCCAATCAGGATGGTAACTGTGGTTGTAACGCAGTGATTGGAGCCTAATTGGCATATCTAAAATTCTTGAACTAGTAAGTTCATGGCGAGCATTAGTTACGAAGATTTCTGAATAAGAGCTAGACATAACACAGATGAAGCTTTCATTCCGGCGATGTGTCAAAAAAATCAAGTGAGCGATTCTGATACCGTGTTGGGAATTTATTTTCACTAGGATTAGAAAACAATTCTCACTTTTACAGCTGAGCAGCCTGTCATCACCGGCAGGCACTCCGAAGTATGAACAGAGCCATTTAAAGGCTTTGATACGACGTGATTCCCCGCCACCTTAACAGTTAGGATATCGATCAGTTTATAATTGAATTGTGATCTTTCGAAGTTATCCTCTAAGAGTCAAGCTGCTCCACTCTGAAAATTAACCACCGATCTACGTCATAGCCCGAATAGTAGTAGTGTTACGTGACAGATTCCCAGATGATGGACATGTGACTAACCACCGGCCTAGAACAACTATGTGCATGCCCTATGTCACCAATGAAATCATATAGTAAATGAGGGAATGGGTAATACCTGTTATGCTTTACTTACCGTAAATACATAATCCCGTTCTTGCTTGCATGAAAAGGTGTGATAGAAAGGCCCTAGACTTCTATGGAAAAGCGCGAAGTTTAAAAAAACGACAAGGGCGAAAGGGCAATTTACAACCGTCTGATTGGACTAGTCGATGATTAACGAGAATTGCAGTGATAGTTGGTGTGGAACTCAAATAAGCCATTGTAAAGAATGCCTTGTTCTCCATAAGAAGATACCTCCCATTAAAATCCATTTGCTAGTGGGTTAGCCACATTTACTGCTCTAAGTAAACATATGACACTAATTATAGAAAACTCGTCATTACCTCCTGGTTCTTCTTTGTCTTCTCCACTGCACTCGTTGTTGATTATCAAACTTGTAGGTCCAAAAATAGGCCCTGTGTAACCAGCAGCAGCATTTACATCACCGCTATTCCATGTGCCCGAAATGCCTCCAGTTCAATATAACTTTATCAAATGAATCAGTGAGTGAGTGAGTAAGTTCAGTGAGTTCACTTCAGAAATATTGTTTTTTAGAGTGCACGCGCACAAGAATAGCCTCACTCGTTTATCATTCGTTTAGTTATCCCTCACGTAAACCAGTTCGACTCAAGGCAACGTAGCGCATTCTCAGGTAACGAATAACTATTTCAACACTAGACATACAAAAGGGACTTTCTACTTTCTCTCAAAGTGACGTGAATTGAAGAGATGAGCATCCTTTACATACCCGTCATTCTACTCAATTCGTTCTAGTGAATTCATTATCTTCAGCTAACCAAAAACTAAACAAAAAAGGTGAAAAATAGGGGAACTACTACTGAATATGCCATGCTGTTCATGCCCCTCGAATGAATGGTGTCTCCCATACTAAGCAGACGATGTTATGGGGATTAGTGGCAAAGACAGTAGTCGTCAAGTCGCTTAGGGAACAGCTAATTAGTTTTTTATGACTATATATTAACTCATGTATAATCAATTATCAAGTCACTCAATGAGTGACAGCAGTGGTACAAGTGATTAGTACTTATTAATAAATATTTGTTAACATTATGAGGGATCTCGAGCAGGTTAGTCACGAGGCTACGTGGCGCGTCCCCAGGTGGCGGATAGGGAGTTAATCGCGGACCAAAGGCGACCATTGCTTCCCTAAGGCGCAGGTGGATCCAGGGGATTACGCGCCGACATCAAACCATGACGGAGAAGAAGTCAAAGCGTTCTATATGGACTTGGAGAAGTCCTACAGAGAAGACCACACAACCTTCAAGGTCATTATTGGAGATTTCAACGATATATATATATGTATATATTTTAGGAACTATTCATCAAATAGTTCCTATTTTCTATATCAGTGTGTGTTTCTTGTTCACCTGTAACTATCTTAAATCTATCTTCGCATCTTCTCTAAATTGCCTCTTAGCCACTAACTCATGGAGTTGCTTCGCAGGTGGCTGGAAAGGGACTCTATAACTTCTTCCAATAAACTGCTCCTTTCTGTCCGACACGTACGGTACTGAATCAGCAGCAGTCAGCTGAATGTACTTTCCAGCACCTCTGGTCCCAAAAAAGTTTCCGAACGAGCAGCTGCGCCCTTTCACATGTAGCTTTATCAGATCGTGCTAGTAGAAAAACCTTTAGAACCTTTCTCTGTCTTTAGCACTGCCTTTAGTTCCCTTTGGCAAAGCTCCGCCCACTACAGAAGGAATGCGGACAGCCCATGGCCATTCGTCTTCAAGTGTTTGCAGTGCTCGTCCAGTGTCCATCCAGTTCGTTCATGCCGCCTAACTCGTCCATATACTTCGCTCTTCTGTTATTGTTGTTATTGCTACTATTATTATAAAAGTTGTGATATAGCTACTATTATTTTAATGTTGTAACCCAGCGTTCGACTCAGCGACTTACACACGAAAGACCCGCGTGGCAGCTACAAGGACTAATACTCACGACGACTTGGTATTTATATAAAGGTGGAAGCTCAACGCTGCAATATATATATATATTATATATATGTATATATATTTGTACTATACATATACAATATATATACGTATATGTATATATTATGAGAACTATCCACCAAATATACTTCGAATATATCCACCAAATAGTCCCTATTTTCTGTATTAGTGTGTGTTTCTTGCTCACCTGTAACTATCTTAAATCTATCTTCGCATCTTCTCTAAATTGCCTCTTAGCCACTAACTCATGGAGTTGCTTCGTAGGTGGCTGGAAAGGGATTCAATAACTTCTTTCAATAAACTGCTCCTCTTTGTCCGACACTTCAGGCACTGAATCATCAGCGGTCAGCTGAATGTACTTTCCAGCACCTCTGGTCCCAAAAAAGTTTCCGAACGAGCAGCTGCGCCCTTTCACATGTAGCTTTATCAGATCGTGCTAGTAGAAAAGCCTTTAGAACCTTTGTCTGTCTTTAGCACTGTCTTTAGTTCCCTTTGGCAAAGCTCCACCCACTACAGAAGGAATGCGGACAGCCCATGGCCATTCGTCTTCAAGTGTTTGCAGTGTTCGTCCAGTGTCCATCCAGTTCGTTCATGCCGCCTAACTCGTCCATATACTTCGCTCTTCTGTTATTGTTGTTATTGCTACTATTATTATAAAAGTTGTGATATAGCTACTATTATTTTAATGTTGTAACCCAGCGTTCGACTCAGCGACTTACGAAAGACCCGCGTGGCAGCTGCAAGGACTAATACTCACTACGACTTGGTATTCATATAAAGGTGGAAGCTCAACGCTGCAATATATATATATATTATATATATAATAATATATATATATACACCTGAAGAGCATTCCGCCAGTTCTCCTAAACACACTAGCTCTGCTCCGTGTTGTTGCTCAAGAATGGTGACATACATGACATCGGCAACTATCGCCCAATCTGCTTGCTGTCTGTCGTCTACAAACTTTTCACTCGAGTCATCCTAAACAGGATTGACAGAACACTGGACAAAGGACAGCCATGTGAGCAAGCAAGGTTTCAGAGAGAATTTAGTACGATGGACCACATCCACACGTAACACGGCTCATTGAAGTATCGCGAAAGCACAAAAGACAGCTCTGTCTCACTTTCATCGATTTACAGGCCTTTGATTCAGTTGAGATAGAAGCAGTCTTGGAAGCCCTTGATAGTCAAGGAGTCCCTATTCAGTACATAAAGATTCTTCGTGATCTGTACAGCAATTTCACAACCAAGGTATCACCATTCTACAACGATATTAACATTGACTCAAATGAGGAGTTTGGCAAGGCGATACCGTCTCGCCAAAATTATTTACCGCCTTCCAGAACGTCATACGAACATTGGAATTGGATAACATGGGAGTGAAAATCGATGATCGGCAGTTACACGATCTTCGCTTTGCTGATGACAGCGTCTTTATAACACTAAACATTAAACAAGCAGAACGTATGCTTGACGACTTTGTTAAAGCCTGTGGAAAGGTTAATCTTCGACTAAATCTCACAAAAACGATGTTCACGAAATACGGAGTAGTTTCGCATGCCCCTTCATGCTCAACGGAACGAAAATCTCCGACTGCTCCAGTTATATCTATTTAGGTTGGGAAATTAACACGATGAACGACTTAGCTCCAAAGCTGAGCAGAAGGAAACGAGCGGCTTGGGGAGCTCTCAAGAGCATCGAGGATGTAGTGAAGAGAACAAAGAACACCAGACTCCGCGCCCACCTTTTCGACTCAACGGTACTTCCTGCTCTAACGTACGCGTTAAAAACCTGGTCGCTGGGTAAGCAGGTTGAAAGGTCACTCAGCGTTATCGAACGCGCAGCCGAAAGGGCGATGCTAGGAGTATGCCGTTTCACACAAGTAAGGGATGGGATCCGAAGCTCTTATCTGCGTCAGCGATCAAAAATCGAAGATGCCGTTCTGTACGCCAAATAGTCGAAGATAAGGTGGTCTGGACACTTAATGCATATGAATGGCAACCGATGAACAAGAGGCGTTAGTGACTGGATTCCTCGGGATGTCAACAGTACTGCTGGAAGACCATCGACCCGATGGTCAGAGTTCTTCACAAAGAGCCTTGAAGAAAGAAGTGATGNTGATCGGCAGTTACACGATCTTCGCTTTGCTGATGACAGCGTCTTTATAACACTAAACATTAAACAAGCAGAACGTATGCTTGACGACTTTGTTAAAGCCTGTGGAAAGGTTAATCTTCGACTAAATCTCACAAAAACGATGTTCACGAAATACGGAGTAGTTTCGCATGCCCCTTCATGCTCAACGGAACGAAAATCTCCGACTGCTCCAGTTATATCTATTTAGGTTGGGAAATTAACACGATGAACGACTTAGCTCCAAAGCTGAGCAGAAGGAAACGAGCGGCTTGGGGAGCTCTCAAGAGCATCGAGGATGTAGTGAAGAGAACAAAGAACACCAGACTCCGCGCCCACCTTTTCGACTCAACGGTACTTCCTGCTCTAACGTACGCGTTAAAAACCTGGTCGCTGGGTAAGCAGGTTGAAAGGTCACTCAGCGTTATCGAACGCGCAGCCGAAAGGGCGATGCTAGGAGTATGCCGTTTCACACAAGTAAGGGATGGGATCCGAAGCTCGGACCTGCGTCAGCAATCAGAAGTCAAAGATGCCGTTCTGTACGCCAAACAGTCGAAGATAAGGTGGGTGGGTCACGTAATGCGTATGAATGACAACCGATGGACAAGAGCCGTTAGTGACTGGATTCCTCGGGATTTCAAACGTACTGCTGGAAGACCATCGACCCGATGGTCAGAGTTCTTCACAAAGAGCCTTGAAGAAAGAAGTGATGCTCGACGAGTCCCTAGAGCGAGGAGAACCCACTAGGCCACTCTTGCACGCGACAGGGAAAGATAGAAGATTTACTGGCGCCCGATCGAGTCACTCGACAATCAACGGGACTACAGGTGATTCAGGTGATAGGTATATACTTATGTGAAATAACGTGTGCCTTAGTTCTGCTTGAAAATCTTATTTAGATTTTCGGAACGCCTTAGCTACAGTAATATTGAACTCGGTACATAACTGTGTGCCAAAATGTGGCTAAAAATTTGCCTGTACTTTATTAACTGCCTAGGGGAGTTCAATTCCCTTGTTTATGAAGTGTCCTTTCTATGTACTGGAAGTGATAAATGATAACACAAATTCCTATAACATAGATCGCGATAAAAATAAATATGCTTAGTTTCTCGGATTTCTAGTAAAGTCTGTGGAAAATCCGACCCATAACGATGTCATGCATTGCTGGTTTTGGTGGTTGCGGTGTCATGTAGAACCATAATGATGCTAAGAGTGCCAATGGAGGGTTAGTTTTTGTCATAACCTGCAATTACGGAAATAGCAGTTGACAGCAGTAATGACAATTCAATTCACGACCACAAGCATAGAAAATCTCACCAAATTTGGTTCGTTAAGAAGATCCACGTGAACATTTTTTGATTTCAGAAAATCCATGAATTGTCCATAGTTGTAGTTGTACGAGATCTTAAGGAACATTGCTGGTAGTTAACTTTTTATTTTCTGTCTCTACAATTTTCACGGCAGGGTATTACGCGAAATACAACCATAACGATGCTGAGATGTTTGCAAAACTCCGGACCGAAGGTGGGATTGATCGATAGAACTAGCTGAAAGACTGCCGAAACAATGAATCCGCTTGGTGTGGGGGTGAAGGCGTTAAACCCCGGAAAGAGTGAAAGCAAGTTCTTTACCCATCTCAGGCACATGCGGTCCGGGGTTTTGCAAATATCTCAGCATCGTTGTGACTGTCGCAAATTATTCAGCCGTCTAAAGAATGAACTTTAATTAATAGCGTGTTTGAATATTAAGGCACTTTTTCAGTTCTTATCTTCCATTCAGTCAATTATTTAAACTGAATAAGAGCAAAAGATGTACTACAACAATTACCAATTCTTCATCTATACATCAAGATGACCTCGCTCTAAGGTTTGCAAAAGAGTACTCAGATACGTTTTCCTGTTTAGCTATATGTCAATAGTGCAGAACTTTGAGTACTGCGATAACCGTTCTATAACTATAGTATACAGTATCGACAACTTGGCTAGCTTATGGTGGGTGACTCCGATCTGTGTTCGCATGCATTTTTTGAAATTAGTAGCATTACTTCACAGATGTTTAAGGTTGACACTCGACAACTTAATGAGAAACGAATGCGAAAAATTGTACAAACTTAACACAATAAGAAATCACTTCCTTTATGTTTCTAATACAATTATTGCAACTCCGGCATTAAAGAGACATTCGGGTGTAGGCTACTACTTCTTCCTAAACGCAATCAACTCAAGTGAATTTTTTAGCTCTTACGGAAATGAAGGCCTCGAAGAAAAACGACAGAAAACAAATGACTTTTGTGCTTCGCTAAAAACTGGAACTTTATCAAAATACAGTAAAACAACTTCCGTTAGTGTTGTTAATTAATTTCAATTGATAGAGTTCACTATGGTTAGAGATTTACATATTTAATCTTCCATTGAATGCTTTACAGTAATGAAATACTAAACTATTTTTAACCATGTATGAATCAAATATCACTCAAGTCGTCCACATTGTGGAAGATTTCCTCCTCTAAGCTTTGTTTAAATTTTCGCCGCTTTTCGCTTCCTTTTTTCAGATCGGAGGCTTTAGTAGACAGAATATGAAAATGAAAAGGAAAAGTGTTCAAATTAGTGAAAAGAATTGCTCGACATTACCTGTATAGCCCCTCTTCCAAAGTAGCATCCCGCAAAGAAGTTGCTTGTTCGATTTTTTGAGCAAGGGTAAAAGAAATCGATTTCCGGTGATTCTATGCAGTACCTGATAGGAATGGTAACAATGATAATAAGCTATGGTAAATATAAACCGTAGAAAAAATATGTTTGAGTTGATAACATAATTTCCATTTTACTGTTTTCTTCATGAGCAGACACGTGATTGTTACTGCATTAAGAAATTCTCAAAAGAAAATCTCCATCGCTTCAACAAGAAAGCAAAAGAGATATAACAAAAGTTGTGATGGTAATGCGGTTGCTAGAAAAAGAGAACAAAAGAAAACAAAATTTATGGCTTAGGGAATACATGAAAGAAACGATGACTGCGCCAGTTTTTCATAATATGTTGGAAAAGCTTTGTTCTCCATTGCAATTAGATTGTAGCACATGAAATGTTCCATTTTAAATGTAAACTTTAAATAACCATAACTCTTTTCACACTTTTTTTTATTACTCAAAGTAAGGACAGTTAGAAACAGTACATTGTTTTCAACAAGAAACAAGTTTGTTTTTTCCAGTCGCCTACAATTCTGGTGTTCTGGAAGCGATGAATTCGTTTAAGGCACTTTTTGAGTCACCATGGTTGGTGAAGCATTTCTCGCCTAAGAAGTTGAAGAAAGGTGCTTGAAAAATAATAATCGGGAAACTGAAGGTCTGTTGAATATGGCGGATGAGGCTAGGTTTCGTAGTCGAACTCATTCAATTTCTGCAGAGCTGGTTCCGCAACGTGAGGCCGGGCGTTGTCGTGAAGTACGATTGGTCTCTTTCCCTTGACTAATGCCTGTCGCTGCTGTTGGAGTTTACGGTACATTTCGTCGATTTGTTGGCAGTAGTTTTCTGCCGTAATCGTCCCGTTCGGATTCAAAAAACTGTGATGAATCAACCCGCTGCGGACCATCAAACAGTCACCACAACCTTTCATAGGTGTAATTACGGCTTTGGGAAGTGCTGCAGAGCCTGATCGCAATCCAAACGTAGAGCGGAACGTTGCCGGTTTTCGTATAGAAACCATTTCTCGTCACACGTCACAATTCGATCAAGAAAAGGAAAGGGTCGTTTTTGTTGCGCAGAATAAGAGCAGACGACACTTCAGAACAGCGATTTTTTCGACTACCGTTTAATTCGTACGGCACCCACTTGTCGAGTTTTTTTCTTTCCTATGCGATTCAAGTGAGTGGAAATTGTTCCTGTGCTTACGCCAAGCTGTTCTGCAAGCTCTCGAAGCTCTCGAGCTCTTCGCGTTTTTGCTTCTGCCAGTGCCTTCAATTAGTCGTCGTCGAGTTCATTGCGACGTTCGCGAGGTTTCTTATCTTCGACGTCGAAATCACCAGAACGGAAATTCCGTATCCGTGTTCGCACTGTTGATTCATCAACACTACCTTCCCCCCAAAGTTGATGATATTCCGAGCTCCTGCCGTGGCATTATGTCCACCCTTCCATTCGTACAAAGAAAGGACACGAATATCACGTTAATTCATACTAAAGTTAAAGCCTATAAACATGCTAAAATAATAAATCTTGAAAAAACCTATAACAGATATAAACAGAGCAGACTTTTCCTTACACTCACAGACCTAATAAAAAGTTTTTTGGACTTTTACAGTGAAAAAGCTCTAGAGTAAAACTCACCGCCCATGTGCAATACACTTATCGCCGTCGCTTGGACTGAAACCTTGCAAACTCGGATCGATGAACGAAGATATTGGACCACCTTCAAACCAATTGTAGAGACCACCGCGATAGAAGCAATCAGTCGCTTCCTTTTCCGATCGATTATCCCTGATAAAAAATCGATCAGCTCTCTGTCTTTTGGAATACTGGAAAATTCAGATAATCTGTTCAGGTTCTGGTAGTTAAGACGGTAGGCGAAATGTTGGTGGATAATGGAGAAAAGAACATTGGACTGAAAGGGAAAAATCAACGTAATATTCACCAAGAAAATTGAGAAAAGTGATGTGACCTGTCATCCTACAGAGGCGCAGCATGTCAATGCGCACAAATTCACTAAATCGTGTCTCACTGAGGCATACTCCTCATTTCAGAATTTTTATACAGTTGAAATATTCTCGAATGTCGGACAGTTATCAATGATCCAATAATACAAAGAACTTCGGCCATTCCTAGACTACTATGCTTTTAACAGTCGAGTCCCTCACAAAAAAATAAGGCATTGATATAATGATCGATTAGCTTTAGTAAGTCCATTTACAGGAGGGTACAGAATATTCGTTGCTTTAGCTAGCTATCAAATCTATGAAAACTTCGTGGTCTAGAATCAATAGATCTCCAGACCGAACATACGTTAGCTTCTTGAAATTGCACAGAGCCCAAAACGAAAAACCATTTTTTTGTTTTGATTTTAAACTAACCTATATAATGCTGCATTATTCTCTCCTGTCTCTTGTATGGCATGTGCAAAAAACGCCGATAGATCTCTTCGAGTATTTTCCGTCTCATTGAAGACCTACATAAGCGGTTCTTCATGGCAAGTGATCATATCATTAATCTATTTTGATTAAGAGACGAACAACGAAACTTCTACTTACTGTATTCGGACTACTCGTCCCGAATTTTGGAAAGTATCTGGCTGCAATCACAAACGCCTCATATGAGTAGGGTGAACACGGATGCGGTCCCCAACCAATGTTAGCGAAGGGGAACAGATCCTGTAAGAACGAATTCAAAGAAGATGCCGCAGTTATGGAAAAACACCGTACTATGTTACCATAGTTAGAGTCATATCCTACTGATTTGCTTGTTTACTTTGTACTTATTTACTTGCATCACTCATTCAAAATGCTTATCGGATTTGCCAGTGGGTCTACTTAACATGTGATGGCTTCTCTACGAATGTCGTTGAATGCTCATGGACTTAGTTATCTCTGAAATCCTGTCGAAAGATTCTTAGCTTTTCGTCACAGGTTGTCCAGGGCCCTTGCAAATCGAGTAAACCTTTTACAAGGCCATTATGCTGCCAATTTGGCGATTCATCACGGTGCTAGGTTTGCGGTTTTTCTACTCCGTGAATAGTCGAACCTGTGCACATGTGTTGCATGAAGGAATAAAAAATAATGGTGTAACAAATATTTAGAGCAAGTTTTGTAACAACCGACTTATCTACTTACCATATTAAAGAAAAGTATGGTCTCACCTCGAACACCTCCTTTGTGAACCACTGCTCTAACGATGATGGTGACAGATTATTAGGATCGGACGGCATTACACAACTTGACGGCGGCCCAGTGCCATACTTTGTGGCATCTGGGCACTGTGATCGAGGTATCACACCATGTCCACTTCCTGAAAGAAACTGAGAAACATGTGCTTGGAGTTATATTGGGAACAGTTTCATTGCTCTGAATCAATCCTCATGACCTTAATAACTATCACGTTTTATCACTGAAAATTTCCTTTATGGACACTTCCGTCAGGAAAAATTAACAGATAGTAAAGCAACAATTTTAAGTCCAACTAAGCGCCTTGGTTATTTAAAAGATTGTCTTACGTGGTTTTTGTATGCACTGGTTTCCTAAAGTGATTAATTAGATGAGTTGTTGAAGTGAATAATTACCGATAAGAGCGGCGAGGATGAGCAGTCCTGTTGACATTTAATGGTTCCTCTTAGTAGCTTATCTCGTCTACTTCTATACTGACGAAACCTTTGTGTAACTATACGACCTCTTAAAGGGAACATTACTCAACGTCCAGATCTCGATAATGGCTACAAGTACAGTGTATTCCGTATAACTCGAGATAAGCTGTTATTCGAACATATAGAGAGCTGAATGAAAATGATACATCAACCACAAAAACGACCAAAGAAAATCGATTTCCACTTGCTAAAGGTTTTTCCGATAGAAAAAGTATAACGAGCAAAATTCCGGTGTTGATTAATCCGTTAGCGAAGCGCTATGCGTTGGAATACATTGACAGCATCACAAATGTAACTACATGCATAGTGGACCTATACAAGTACTTGCCGTAGTCTACCGATGTACAAAATCATTGTTTACTACTCTCGCAGGCAAGTCAGATACGACCCCGAGTAATTTGCCCAAGGCGGACGTTCGATCTAATGACCACGTGTGTACTACCGGACACCTCTAACTATAGCGTTACACGTGCTTGTTTTTGTGGAAAGGCACCGACATCCACACATAGTTCACCTTTCCATATTTTTTTACAGCATGAAACTACAAGGCGATCTCTTAGTATAAATGACTAATGTGAGATATTGGAGGGCTATCGATGTGAAATGATGTCGAAATTGCAATCGAAATTTTCTTAGCCATTTATTTGTACAAAGATCAATGTAAAATTGATAAATATGGAAACTGAATTGATACACTTCATTAGTATTTTCATCAAAGCAGATTCACTGACCCGTTAACAACCGATTTTCGAGCTCAGGGGGCGACCCAAATTTGCTTGCTCAAAGGTAGCACCGATCAACTGAAGTATTGCAAGAATCTGATGCCACAGCATTTCAACTCACCTGGAAATAAACCAGACCGTCCGTGTAATCAATAGGATCACTATCATTGCGCTACCCGCTACACTTTTCTCTGATCCTTTATGTGGAGAAAATCCCACGTCATATTGCACAAATATATCCCACAAGGTTAATTAGACCGTGCACAAAAGGTAGTTACACCTACAGAGTTTCGCTATATACTGTTACCGATCCCTTTCATAACTGGAGGTATGGCACATTATGTGGTGTTGAAGCTAATGTCTGGTTTTACTGGATGCTGGAAGGTATCATTTCGCCGACAATTATTACACGAGTAATTCCCAAGACCGACTTTCTGTTAATCTCGGCATTAATTGATTAATTCAATCTTTTTCTTCAATAAACAGACACGAGGTTGTTAATATAGAATTTATTAGAATACCAAAGCTGACGTTTCGGCGGTTTCGCCTTCTTCAGAGCCGTTTATTTGTTGTAAGTATTTAAGTTAGTTGATGGATAGCCGCCGAACAAAGTAATACATGGGCGATCGCCCAACTTAAATACTTACAACAAATAAACGGCTCTGAAGAAGGCGAAACCGCCGAAACGTCAGCTTTGGTATTCTAATAAATTCTATATTAACAACCTCGTGTCTGTTTATTGAAGGAAAACATTGAATTATATTACACGAGTCTTACTGTGGCTGAATGCTTGTTAAGGAGACGAATCCATTTTATTGTCATCTGTAGGAGAACCAGCAAAGGACTTGCCGAAAAAGTCCACTAGAAGCTGAGTAGTAGATAGTTAATAGCGCAACAGAATCGGAGGGGTATTAGAATAAAGTTCTACCACTGCCAGCTCTCTCGTTTGTACGTAATATTTCCTGGATTATTTAAAGATCAAGCGGTCTACTCACCCTACTAAGAGGGCCATTAGCTCCTGAATCGAAAACTCATAGTTATTTTTGCTTCTTCGTGTTGTATAAAATATAAAATGTCGTATGTTTTATTTATAGAGCATAATGTGGGGAATGTTACGAAATCCGGTACACGACAAAATGGACTTCTCTAGAGAAGCGTAAACCACGGGAGTTCCGAACCAATAAAGATAAAAACGAAGACTGACAAAAACAGATTTCTTTTAATGACGAAAAGCTTGACAATGGCAAGCCCAACGAATTGGTAAGAGGTGTACTTCAAATAATCCTAATAGGTCCACGAATAGGTACTTTTACTAGGAAAGAAGCAAGGATGATACAAAAACAATTTGAGAATACTGGCTAGGAAACGTAGAGATCTGAACCCATAGGTGGCTCAGAAGATCACAAATCGATTGCGCAGAATTGGAAAAACACTGAAAATGACCAACGATAGCAGCAAAAATCTCACGTATCAGGTGAAATAAGTGGTTAAAGGTGTCCTGCAACACCCAAAGGACCGGCTGGTGGTCTGATTCAACACCCCGAACATACTGAACATTCGACCAGACAAAGGTCTATAGGTTGATGCCTGACTTTTCTCGGAAAATAAAACAGTGATTTGATACTACAATGATGTTGAGATATTTGACAAACACCGGAGTGCAGGTGTCAGCGGTGAAAATCGAACGTCATTATTACCCTTTGCAGGGACTAACGTGTTCACCACCACACCATGCGTATCCTTCGTTTCGCCTTTCTCACAGTCTGTGTTTTATAGTCGCTATCGGCAGTCACCTGTCAACGAGACTGATCTGGGAAACGCAAATCAGCATTGAGCTCAGTTAAGCTGTAGCTATTGTATATGGTGTGGTGGTAAACACATTAGCCCCGGAAAGGGTGATAACAAGGTTCGATCCCAGGCGCAGACACCTGCGATTCGGAACTTTGCAAACATCTCAACATCATTGTAGTTGTATTTCACATCATACCATGATTATACTGATTTGATTTGATGCATCAGCAGCCCACCCAAGGCGTCTTTTGCGCCAAATTTGCATTCATTCTTCTGTATATGGAGAATGTAGTAAAATGTGTGGCGCATCCTGAGAATATTGATCGAAATCGAGCAATTTTATCCTACTATGCTTTGTCCTGTTTACGAAAAAATCATGAACATGATTTCAATGAATCTAATATGTAGAGGAGTCGCAGAGTCGTTATAATTCGTAGCCGAGTTTAGTCTCCGTCATTGATCAGCGCTATATATGAAGTTTTTCTTCTCATGAATGATCGTGGGTACAGGCTTCATCACATTTTTCATATGACGTATATGTTGGTGGTTTAGCACTGCTTTTTTGTAGAGATGCAAGAAGCTCGAGCTAGGGCTTCTCATATCGTCATCAAAAGGTTCTCCTCCACTTTCGAGTGAAATTATACAATAATTGTAACATATTCCGTCCTAGTTTCTTCACACATACACATTACAAAAATGCTGCGAATGAAGTAAGTAAAGTGATAAAGCGGATAAAACATTCGGTGTTGATTAGTTCCTGGCGACGTGTCATGCTTTCCACTTTATCAACCATCGTAAAAGTCATGGAATGCATATCTGGCTTATTTAATGACCATCGTATCAGACCAGTGCCATTATCTTCCTAGACAGGTTTCGTACCAATTTGAAAACTCCGGAGGGTTCGAAAGCTTGGTGAGCCCTGGTCCAGGATTGAACCGACGACCTCGTGTGTATTGCATTGTGTCTCTAACCGCTGCGGTACACACACGCTATGGCGATTTAATTCACTAACAAAATCATGACACAACAGTGAGAAGGCATAGTCTCGACGACCGTTTCTTATTGTTTTAATTGACTAATTTTTTAGAAGAACACGGATTTTTTAGATGCTCAACATGAAAGCTAGTTCATTTTTATCCTGTGTTATCTATATCACGGCTTTAAGCACGCGTAGCGCAGAGGGTAAAGGTGTCCCATCGCAATACGCACGTCATCTTTGTTTCAATCTTGTGTCTCGGACTCACCTAGCTTTCCATTTCTCCGGATTATTCACATTGGCACCAGACTTGTCTGCAAGGATGGCAACACCGATTTAATATATCTGAAAGGCACCTCAAGTCGTTCTAAAGGCCAAATTTGTATTCATTCACCTCTAACGATTCTTGATAGTCGAACGCATGAACATCCACGGTGACTGATCAACACCGGAGGTCCTTCCTCTACGGTCTATATTAGAGTTTGGTATTGTGAAAGACAAAGAGCTACGAGCAGAAAAGAAGCTCATAAAATCTATGTCGATTATTTACATACACTGTATATAAGGATATGTTTTTGAGGGATAACAGTTCGAAGGTATTCTCTGAAGCATTGGGCAAAAATATACGAATTGATTATTGAAATGTATTGATCCGATAGCTATGATAAAGTGTATGTTTCTCTGGACACTTCGATGTAGTTAACATAGAAGAGTACAACCCTTGAAAACTGCGAAAACTACTTTTATAAGGTATCTTTGCGGTATAAAGCAAACATAACAACTTATAATATGAATCAATAAGCCAAGCAAGCTGCAGTAGCATTTGTAAGATTGTACATAGATGGATTCGCATAGATGCTAGCGACACATCTAAGCCTGTTGTTCACATTCATTGACACAAATTCATCGGGATAATAATCAGGATCAAAGTATGGTATCAAACCTGAAAAGCGTTTTGTTAGACTAAAACGATATTAGTTATTTACAAACGTCTCTTGCGACCAGTTCATTTTTTTTGTACGACAAACTTTTTAGGATACGATGGACAACATAAGTTAATAGTTGAGATTGTTAAACCGAAAATAAACGCGTGTTACTTTTAATGAAAAGAGAAAAACGGAAAAAGATGTCAGAAAAAGGTAGGGAACTCTAGCAACAGCAAATTGCATGAGATCGAGTATTGATGATCGAGTACCTAAAAGAACAATTATTCAGACCGATGCATGTGATGGCTCATCAGTGGGTCTTCATTTAGCATTACATTGTTTCTCACTGCTTTCTCACTGATTATGTTACTACCACTGTTCTGTTTCTGGCATAAATCAATCACTGCCATAAGTTGCCCTTCTTGGCTACGCACCTATCCTCTAGTGTTTTGCGAATCCTCATCTTGAGCTAGCACCCCAACTACATTCATGCTATATATATATATATATATATATATATATATATATATGTATATATATTTGTACTATACATATACAATATATATACGTATATGTATATATTATGAGAACTATCCACCAAATATACTTCGAATATATCCACCAAATAGTCCCTATTTTCTGTATTAGTGTGTGTTTCTTGCTCACCTGTAACTATCTTAAATCTATCTTCGCATCTTCTCTAAATTGCCTCTTAGCCACTAACTCATGGAGTTGCTTCGTAGGTGGCTGGAAAGGGATTCAATAACTTCTTTCAATAAACTGCTCCTCTTTGTCCGACACTTCAGGCACTGAATCATCAGCGGTCAGCTGAATGTACTTTCCAGCACCTCTGGTCCCAAAAAAGTTTCCGAACGAGCAGCTGCGCCCTTTCACATGTAGCTTTATCAGATCGTGCTAGTAGAAAAGCCTTTAGAACCTTTGTCTGTCTTTAGCACTGTCTTTAGTTCCCTTTGGCAAAGCTCCACCCACTACAGAAGGAATGCGGACAGCCCATGGCCATTCGTCTTCAAGTGTTTGCAGTGTTCGTCCAGTGTCCATCCAGTTCGTTCATGCCGCCTAACTCGTCCATATACTTCGCTCTTCTGTTATTGTTGTTATTGCTACTATTATTATAAAAGTTGTGATATAGCTACTATTATTTTAATGTTGTAACCCAGCGTTCGACTCAGCGACTTACGAAAGACCCGCGTGGCAGCTGCAAGGACTAATACTCACTACGACTTGGTATTCATATAAAGGTGGAAGCTCAACGCTGCAATATATATATATATTATATATATAATAATANCTTCGACTAAATCTCACAAAAACGATGTTCACGAAATACGGAGTAGTTTCGCATGCCCCTTCATGCTCAACGGAACGAAAATCTCCGACTGCTCCAGTTATATCTATTTAGGTTGGGAAATTAACACGATGAACGACTTAGCTCCAAAGCTGAGCAGAAGGAAACGAGCGGCTTGGGGAGCTCTCAAGAGCATCGAGGATGTAGTGAAGAGAACAAAGAACACCAGACTCCGCGCCCACCTTTTCGACTCAACGGTACTTCCTGCTCTAACGTACGCGTTAAAAACCTGGTCGCTGGGTAAGCAGGTTGAAAGGTCACTCAGCGTTATCGAACGCGCAGCCGAAAGGGCGATGCTAGGAGTATGCCGTTTCACACAAGTAAGGGATGGGATCCGAAGCTCTTATCTGCGTCAGCGATCAAAAATCGAAGATGCCGTTCTGTACGCCAAATAGTCGAAGATAAGGTGGTCTGGACACTTAATGCATATGAATGGCAACCGATGAACAAGAGGCGTTAGTGACTGGATTCCTCGGGATGTCAACAGTACTGCTGGAAGACCATCGACCCGATGGTCAGAGTTCTTCACAAAGAGCCTTGAAGAAAGAAGTGATGCTCGACGAGTCCCTAGAGCGAGGAGAACCCACTAGGCTACTCTTGCACGCGACAGAGAAAGATAGAAGATTTACTGGCGACCGATCGAGTCACTCGACAATCAACGGGACTACAGGTGATTCAGGTGAAATAGGGAATATAGAGGCCCTTGTGTTAAAGTGTGTGATGCTTTTCGCGCCGTTCAAACGAGTTAGGCTTGTCGAGTAGTTTCGGCCCTCAATAGGGATAATGGAGATTTTAATAATACTTGTTCGATTAATTTCATGAGCATTAGAATTACAGCTAACAATTTACAGATGAACAAAGTAGTCTTTCAACTTCAACTAGATCACCTCCATATGGAGCTGGTACGCAATCACACGGCTGTTCTTTCCAAATTGTGCGCCAGTCTGGTTGATAACTGTAGTTGTAGCGCAATGATTCGAATTTAACTGGCATATCTAAAAATTCAATAAATAAGGGTATGATAATCGTCGGTTCATAAAATCATCGAATACGGCTTGACATTATGCAGATGTGACCTTTAAATTGGAGATGTTTCATAAAATCAAATGATATATTCTCACAGCGCGTTCCAGATACCATGCTACTTGGGATTAGAAAATAATTCTTACTTTTACAGCTGAGCAGACTCTCATCACCCACAGGCACTCCGAAGTAGGAACATAGCCACTTAAAGGCTTTTATACGTCGTGATTCTCCAGGCCCTTAACAGGTAGAATAACGATATGAGTTCCGAATTGAGTTATGAACATTTGATGTTATTCTCTGGCAATCACCCTGCGTCAGTTTGAAAATTAACCACCGGTGTACCTCATGAGCTCAGCAGTGGTAGTGCAACTTGACATTTACAGATAATGCTTATGTAACTGATCACCGACTTATAGCGACCAAGTGCTAACACTACGTCGTCAATGAAATTAGAGAATGACTATTGTCGGTTATCGTTTGCCTTCCGTATATACGTACTCATCTTCATGTTTGCATAAGTAGGCATGATTGTGTGCATGCAGATTGTTTCCTACGCATCGATTCGAACAAAAGTCTATGTTCAAGCCAGTGGGAAAACCAAAGAAAGGAACCGTACGCGGTCATCTATAATAAATAACCTCATCAACTTGGTGCACGCATACCCATGAGCCGCCCTTACGCCCTTATCCTGTTATTGGAACCGAGAATCTCTAATAAATCATGAGGACGAAAAGATTCTTTACAAGTGTCCAATTGAGCTGGTCGGTGACTAACAAGACGAGTAGGCACCAGCGATGTACGGAAGAATAGTTGCAGTGACTTGATACATCGACGGGCCACCGCAAGTCGCTGTGTAGGCCAATTATGAAGTCGATCGCCTCCAACGATGCTTGATGAGCTCGAGTGTGTGGAGCATCCCTCAGGAATCAATCAAGCCCGAAAGTCTTATTTTCTTCATAGTGTAAGTCATTCTCGTATTAATAGCTGCACCCACATTTGCTGTTCTAAGTAGCCACCTAATAGTAATCGTAAAAAATTTATGCCAACCTCCTGGTTCTTTTCTGTCTTCTCCGCTGCACTCATTGTTGATTACCAAACTTGTAGGTCCAAAAATGGGCCCAGTATAACCAGCTGCAGCATTTTCTTCACCGCTGTTCCATGTGCCTAAAATGCTTCCAGTTGAATACAACTTTATTAAACAGCTCTAGATATATGTGCAGAAATTTTTTAATACTTCACAGTGGAATGACGTTAGTCGTTCATAATTAGTCGATGCCAAAGAAGTTCTTCAAACAAACGAATTGGTCCTAGGTCTTAATCTTAATCTGGGTCTTGATCTTAAGATTAAAAAAAGTTAAATATCGCATTGCTAAAATATCAGCAATAAAATAAGATACAAGATATATATATATATATATATATATATATATATATATTCCCACCAGCACAGGCAGCCGCCGCCTTTGTTGATCAGAGGGAGATTTGCCATCATGTGAATAGTTTGATAACATGACGGCGGTGAATCCTGGTATTGCTTTACTTTTTGCTGGATTTCCTGATGGAAACGCCGAACTCCTCAGCTTGGGAGGCCGAGCTGGGGGATGAATCACCGGCTTCACATCGCTGTCTGACACCCATGAACAACTTCCAGCCACGATGAGGCGACAAACCGTTGGGAGATGTGTGTTACTATATTACATGTAAATGTGAAAACCCTAAATTCTAGGTAACGCGTATGGAGTTAGACACACAGAAGGGGCATTTTACATGTCGTACGTGTATGTGAATTGAAGAGAAGAGCATCATTTCTTAGCCTGCCAGCATGTTCAAATCCTTCCTGAAGTCATTGTGCACATTTCGATATCCAAGAATTCATAGAAATGAATGATCTCTTACTGAATATATCACGCTGTTCAAATATCTAAAATGAATGGAGTCTGCTGACGTGCCAACTTACTAGTCGTGAAGCTGATCAAGAAACAAATGACTCGGTTTTATTGACGATTTGGTATTAACTTAAGTATAATCAAGCATCGAGTTACTCGGTGATCGATCAGTAATACAGTTGATAACCATTTAACTGTTGTCTATTCATTGACATTACTTTTTCTTTCCTCTCATTCTTTGTACATTATATATATATATATATACATATATATATACATAAATATATAATATGTAATGTAATAAACCCTAGTTTTATTTGCAAATCTCATTTCAATTTCTGAAACGCTTTAACTAAAAGCATTATTGAATTTAACATGCAACTGTGTGCCCATGTATGGCTAGAAAATTCTCAATACTGTACTGATCATGTGTAGGAGCTAATATTCCATATCTATGAAGTACTCCTTTTCAAATGTTGGATTTAGTGAACGATAGACATAAATTGAGACAAAAATTAAACGTGCATGGTCTACTGCAGGTCTTACCCATAACAATGTCATGCATAGCTGGTTTTGGTGGTTGAGGTGTCATATAGTACCATAACGATGCTAAGAGTGCCAGTGGAGGATCAGTTTTTGTCATAATCTGTAATTAACGGTAACGGCAGTTAACAACAGTTATAATATTTCCGCTGAGGGCCACAGATAAAGAAAGTCTCACCAAATTTGGTTGATTAAGAAGATCCACATGGATATTTTTCGATTTCAGAAAATCCATAAATTGTCCATAGTTGTAGTTGTATGAGATCTCAATGGATAATATCAATATTTTTATTGGAAGAGAATGTTTACAAGAATCAACTTCACTGATTGTGTGCTTACTTGAGCAATAAACTTTAGCTACCAGGTTAGGAAGAAATACATCTGGTTGGTTTTTAAAGCTTTCATTCTTCGCTAGTTCATAGCCTTAAATTGCAGCAATTCGGAAGAAAATCCTTAGAATCATCAACTGTTCACATTTATACATTACAATGATTTTGTATTAAAATTTTACTTGTACGGAAAATGTTTCAGATATGTTTTCCTCCATCTGTTAGTTGACATTGCAATAGTTTAACACGTTTGCGATTTTAACTTTTTATTTACTGCGTATTACTATTTTTCATGGCAGGGTACCACGTGTGATATAACCACAGTGCTGCTGAGATATTTGCAAAAGTCTGGGCCGCAGGTGTCTGCAGTGGGGAGCGAACGCGCTGTTACCCTTTCCGGGGAGTAACGCGTTCACCACCATCATATGGGTCCATCGTTTCAACTATCTCTCAGCTAGTTCTATCGACCAGCGCCATCAGCAATCACCTGTCAAAGGGATTGATCTACGGAGCCCAAATCGGCAACGAATCCAGTTAAGCTGAGGCTGTAGTAGAAATCGAAATTAACTCTGCCATGAAAAATTGTAGTAGGCAGTAAATAAAAACAATAAAATGTGATTTGGCGCTGATCGATAGAACTAGCCGAGAGACAGGCGAAACGAAGGACCCGCATGGTGTGATGGTGAACGCGTTAGCCCCGAAAGGGTAATAGCGTGTTCGTTCCCCACCGCAGACACCTGTGGTCCGGAGTTTTGCAAGTATCTCAACATCATTGTGATTGTATACTCGTGATTGTTCTGCACTTTCGATAACTACGGTATTTGAAGACTTGATGGGTTGAAAAGCTTATAGTGCGAGACTTTGTTATAAGGTTATATGCAATTTTTTCAAAGTGCTAATTTTATTTCGATTTGTTTAAAGTTAAAGTTCAGGAAGGTAGTAAAAAACGAGGACAGACATTTATTACAAACTTAGCGCAGTAGGTTATTTTTTTTAAAGATTTAACGTAAGTATTTCAAAGCGCACATTAAAAAAGAATTACAAGTAACTTTTTCAGCTCCGCTAAATACGAATTTTCTGACCTCTCAGAAGAGTAAAAAACACTTGTATTATGTTAGTTGTAGTTTGTAAACTATAAGTTTTACTTTGTGTAATAAAATGCACCACGAACTGTGACAGAGGCCTAAAAGAGACGACGTTAATGCTCGAATGAGAGTTTAAAAGGCTGAAAATGCTAGACTACTTTTAGCCACGGAGATTCGTATATGACTCCTGCCGTCCACAAATGCGAAAACCTGAATTCTAAGCCCCTTTTTTTAAACGTCGTCGAGGTTTTTCTAACTGTTTGACTAATTTTTGATTCTAAAATCATAGCTCAAGTTTTTAAATTAATAAATGCAGTTGCTCGCAATACCTGCATAGCGCCTCTGCCAAAGTAGCATCCTCTGAAGAAATTGCCTGTCCGATTCTTAGAGCAAGGATAAAAATAGTCGACATCCGTAGATTCAGAGCAATACCTGAAAAAACCACAGCTACGGAAATACAATTTGTTTTATATAAATTGTATTTCAAATGTGACATGTGATAGATTAAATCTTAAGATTAATTTATCAAACTCTGCTGTATTTTCTAGTTTGCTGTTTCACTAGGGCCAAACAACTGAAAAATAGTGAAAAAATACGAGGTATTATGCTATTCTATCAACAAACGTTTTAACAATGAACAAAAAAGAGCGTTGTATAACGGAACACAAGAAAACTTACTGTAGTAATGGAATTTTACGAAAAAGAGAACTAAGGAGTATAAAACTACACGGCGTTGAACCTATGTGATTTAACAGTTAAAATGATGGAGAATGATGACTTTGAAGACTTCCATAATACCCTAGAAAATAACTATTCTATATTGTTAATATTAATGGGTACAAGTGTAGCATAGCGCTTTGAAGTGTCCTGTAATGCACCCTTGGTTCTTGGATCCACCCCGCATCCCTCTCCCCTTTTTTCCATGGTCGACAAATTAGTTTATTGTCATACCTGTTAAGCCTAGGAGGACGTATAACGCTGACTTGATGCATTAGTAAGCACAAGTACTTGTCGCATTAGTGGACATAATTAGGCACATAAGTAGGCTTATGAACAAATTATGCACTCAACTGCCTCTGATGCTACGAATGGAATTAGATGCATGGTAACTCCCTAAGGAATGGATAAACTTCAAATGCTTTATCGTGTATTTTTTTATAACAACATTGTAATATTATAGCTAATAGAGGTTGTAGAAACTTTTTTGGGACTAAAAGTTTGAGAGCCTGTAGCAGTGAAACTTACCGACCGGCTTCGCTGCACTTATCACCATCACTTGGGCTGAAACCTTGCAAACTCGGATCGATGAACGAAGATATTGGACCACCTTCAAACCAATTGTAGAGACCACCACGATAGAAGCAATCAGTTGCTTCCTTCTCTGATCGATTACCGCTAACAAAAAATCGATTATCGGATTAGGATATCGGAAAATTCATGTCATCTGCTGTTCAGGTTCTTGTAATGAAGACGGTAGACTCAACATTGTTAGTTGATAAAAAAAAACGAAGTAAAATGGGAGGATCAACGTAATATTCATAGAGGGAGTAAAAAGCAGGTTAATCCGTATTCTTAAAGGGGTAATGTCAGCACCGGTAAATTCAACTATTCGTAAGTCACTTGAGCAGATTACACATTTTAGTATTTTTTGTATACGCGTGGAACGTGCCGGAGTCCGAGAGTTTACAATGATTGGAGAGTATAAAGGACTTCCGCCCATTCCCATAGTGCTAGCCTCTAACAGCCGAACTTCCTGTCAATGAGATAAGTTCTGATTAACCACTGCCTCCAGTAAGTCATTTTGTGAGAGCGTATAGAAAGTTCGTTATTTGGACTACTTATCAAATGAACTGCTGTAGCACAAATTCTGTGGGTCAAACAACGATAAATTTTGAAAACCCTGTCCAACATTCGTTAAGTCCTCGAGATCACAGAGGGCTCGAAACAACAAACCAATCTTTTCCAATTTTAAACCGACCTGTATAGTGCTAGATTATTCTCTCCTGTCTCTTGTATGGCATGTGCAAAAAACGCGGCTAGATCTCTTCGAGTATTTTCCGTCTCATTGAAGACCTACATAAGCGGTTCTTCATGGCAAGTGATCATATCATTAATCTATTTTGATTAAGAGACGAACAACGAAACTTCTACTTACTGTATTCGGACTACTCGTCCCGAATTTTGGAAAGTATCTGGCTGCAATCACGAACGCCTCATATGAGTAGGGTGAACACGGATGCGGTCCCCAACCAATGTTAGCGAAGGGGAACAGATCCTGTGAGAACGAATTCAAAGTAAATGCCACAACTATGGAAAAACATTGTACTATGTCGCAATGGCTAAAACCATATCTTACTGATTTACTTGTTTATTTCGAATTTATTTAGTTGCGTCAGTTGTCGTCATTCAAGATGGTTTTTGGAATTTGTGTATAACTGCGGCTGAAGTTTGATGGCTCTGAGTTCTCCACGAATGTCGTTATGGGCTTAAGTGCACAAATGGCTTTGAATGATGAGAGGAGAGATAGTGAGCCATGGTGTTCTTGTAGTCTTGCTTTCGTGACCATTCCATGAAGTAAGCGTTTTCGGATAGCTTTATTTGGATGTTTAAAAATGGAAACCGTTTTCTTTTGATTTCTCTCTGATGAATTCTATGTACTATGACTGTTCGTTCAGCAAGGCAAAGTGGTTGCCTATCTTATCGTCTGTGGATCAGATGACAAAACAATACATCATATACATCTACAGCGGAGCAATGGTCGGAGATCGATTGCTAGACCATGTATTTTAGATGTAAACGCATGATGAGGAGTGGTTCCAGTCGCTATCCCATTGAAACCCTCTCATTTTGTGAGTAGTGCTTCGTGGATCATCCGACGACGTAGTACTTTGAGCACTCTTTTAAAAGGGCGATGAGATGGCAAAGAGGGAAACATGCATGTTTATTGCTCCTTTGTGTTGTATAAAGGGCGCGTGTGACGCAATGGTCGGAGGGGACGTGCAAGACACATGTGGAATTCGATTCCCGCGCACATGAAGCCTTCCATCCCTCCGGAGTCTGCAGATCGGTACCAGACTTCTCTGGGTGGATACCAGCACTGGCTCTATACATCGGTAGGCCACCGCGAGTTATTGCAAGACTAGATATGCATTCAATCACCTCCAACGATGCTTAATAAAGTCGAATGCATGGCGCGGCGCATCCTTCAGGGATTGATCAACGCCGAGAGCTTTATCCTTTATCCTTTTCATGTTGTATAAGTAGTTCGAGGATGGCTTATACAGTGGATTCACTCCACGCTTTTGTATAAAAAGAGGAAACGTTGAAAGATTCCACTATCACGCACGCGTTGCGGAAGGCGCGTTATGTAAGTGGTCCAAAAATATTCGCTTGTGGTTAAAATGGAAAGCGATGTGTTTCAATTCCTGGGTAAACATTTTAAAAACCATGTAATTCTATATTCTGGTTTATTGAAGGGCTTAAATGAGGTTGTAAAACTCTTTATTTGGCAACGTTTCGAGGACTTCGCCTTCATCAGAGCCACAACAATTTGTGTCGAGTATCCGTAGCAGCTTTCAGTTCTTGCGTTGTTGGCTTTTGTTGCTGCCTCTCTTCATCAAATAACTGGAGGGCTTGTAAAAAGCAGAGCTGTAGATATTTAATAAAAGAAATTGCTCACTGTTTGACTGAGTAGATTGCTAGTGATTTTAAACTTCCCGGACTCTGGAGAACGCGAAATCAAGGAATGGTCAGCTATTGTGAATAAAAAGTGTTTTAACAAACTCATGTTGTATAAGCATTAAAAAACACTGTATTGTTGTTTTGAGGTTTACTTCCTGCCTGTTCCTTTTCCATGGCAGGATATAGTGTGAAATACAACCATGAAGAGATAGGGATGAGATATGAGCAAAACTTGGAATTTCAGATGGGTTTCTAACTCACCATTACCCTTACCTGGGCCGATGTACTATCACCCAGGCAATCAGTGAATTGCTGATCAACGCCGAAGTTAACAGAATGTCAGTCCTGAGATTAGTCGAGATACTGCCGTCTCAAATCCTGAAGGGAGTGTCCGTGGGTTATTCATAGGCCGTGGATGACCGTTGTGAATCGAAAATAGTGGGATGGGAGCTTAGATGAGGGAAGCTGTGATGGGTCGAGCTAGAACGTACGTGATGCTCAGCAAAATAAAATTGGTGCTGTAGCAAGTGCTTAGGATAAATGTTGTGAAGATTGTTCCGCATATGCGCTGAATTCAAAAAAAAACTGGTCTCACTTCGAACGTTGCCTTTATGAACCATTTTTCTAAAGGTGATGATGGCAAATGATTAGGATCAGATGGTTTAACACAATTGGGCGGCGGTCCAGTACCATACTTCGCAGCATCTGGGCATTCCGATCTAGGAAGCACACCATACCCACTTCCTGAAAGAAACTAAGAAGGATACGCTTGGAGTTATAGTGGGAACAGCTTCATTGTTTTCAATCATTCTTCATGGTCTTGATAACTACCAGATCTGATAACTTAAAACTTACTTCATTAACACTCCTTTTAGGATATAAGCAGATGGCAAAGTAAGAACAATTTTAGGTTCTATTAAGTTTAAGAAGACCATCTAGATTATTTTAGAAGCAATCCTTCTCGTTTCTTGATGCACTGATTTTTAAAACTTCTCATTTAATTGAGCTGCTGAAATGAATAATTACCGATAAGAACCGAGGAAATGAGCAGAATGGTTGACATTTACGACTTCTCGTAGTAGTTTATCACGTCCACTTTTATGCTGATGACACCGTCCCGTAACTATACGGCCTCTTAAAGACAATATTATTGAACATATGGATCTCGACGATGGCTATAAACACCGTCTATATAGCACAAGATATGCTGTTATTCAAACACAGAGAATTGAATGAGGATGATACATCAAGTTGAAGAACTGACAAGGAATATTGATTTTAATTCACCATAGATTTTTGGAAAAAGGCATGAAGTACAGAATGTCGGTTTTGACCAGTCCTTTTGTAGTGCGCCAAGTACTGGAATGTATTCTTAGTATCGTACAGATATCTAGTACATAGCTGGCCTATTTAAGGACTTACTAAGGTCTATCAATATCTCAAGCCACTATATTTTTCGATTGTTTAGCTTACATGAACTCGTCATAAAATCTTCACTCGGCTAACTTTTCGACGTCTCCACCATATTCGAAGCGAAGAACGCAAAGAGTTAAATTATCTAAAGTGGAGCGCCACTCTAATGGCTTTTGACGATGTTGTAGAAAGGTTGTTGATTTACTCACTACTCGGCCAAAGCGCCGAAAGGTTAGCCGAAGAAGAATTTTATAAATGTACAATGCACTAGCTAATTCAGTTCCGATCGCCGTAGAGTGGAGCGCTTGCAGAAAACAAACCATTATTAACCGACCATCAGTCAATCAACAACGGCCCTTTATAACAAGGCACCGCCAATTGAAGTTCTTCATTTGATCGCCGCTCACGTTCGTTGGATTCGATTCGATACGACGACGACCACCCATATTGTGAAGAAGTATGGCTGTGGTCAATGAGTCTAATCATTGCGGCTCTGAAGAAGGCGTAGGCGCTGAGACGTTGGCCACAATAAAGTTTTGTTGCTATATAAGGGAACGAAAGCTATTGATAATTCAGATTTCTATCTTTTCTACAACATAAACCTACGAGAACATCTCTTAGTTCAATGGCTAATGTGAGAAATTGGAAGAATATCGATGTTAAGCGATGTAAAAAATTTAATGCACGCTTTCTTACCCAATTATTCGTGCAACTGCAAACACGAAACTGATAAATTTGAAAATTAAGGAAGTGTCTTTAGTATTATTCACATCAAAACATCTTTACAGACTGTTTGTCTCTCTGATTAAGGTGTCGGGCTTCTTTGTTTTGCCCGAGTTCGTTGGCCTAAGGATTGTGCTGATCAATTGCAGTATTTCAAGAACCCGAAGCCACAACATTTCAGACTGCCAGAATAGATGAGAAGCAAGCCTAGACCTAAAAAACAGCGCAAGAGGAGACACTGATATGAAATCATAAGAAATCACGCAAGAACTATGTTGTATGATTTCCCGCCTTCGTCTCGCGAAATGTTTACTAACTAATTTATGACTCAACATCGTTTTCCACAGAACATGGTTTTTTACAGATTTTGGACGTAGTGCTTTTTGCAAAAAACCCAGTTTTCATAAGGTTTAGTCTAAAATTTATCATTCATCATGTATCAATTCGTTCGTATCACAAAGATAAGCACCCTATGAATTGAGGCAAAACATTACAAATATTACCACAATGGTGCTGGGATATTTGCAAAACTCCGGACCGCAGGTGTCTGCGATGGAAAATGAACCACCTGTCAACGAAACTGATCTGGGGAGCCGAAATCTGCAATGAACCCAGTCGAGATAAGGCTGTAGGTAGTGAACGCGTTAGCCCCCGAAAAGGGTAGTAGCGCGTTAGTTCTCCACTGCAGAAAGTTGCGGTCCGGACTTCTCCAAGTATCTCAGCATCATTGTAATTCTATTACATATAATACCCTGACTTGAAAATTGTAACAGGCAGTAAATAAAAAAGTTAGCATTACCCATAACAGTTTATTAAAATGGAGAAACGTACCTTCGAGTTAGTTCGTATAAATATCTCCACGCGTATTCTACAGTAAAGTCTTTATTATTCGCCGTGTTAATACTTCTACTGCTATACTTCCACCTTCTTCCACTTTCTAATTATTGTGATCATTTCGCTTCTATCGCTTACGCCGTAGTTTCGAAATGTTCGTTTTTTTACAGCAAAGCAACCGAGTGGTGCTGATCGGCTCTCATCTCGAATTTCATTGAGAACCTTCATTCAGATTCGTGTTGCAAGACTATGGAAGTTTCTTTTATCAAGAAGTGACTTCACGAGTGAGTGCTTTGAGATCGAAAACTTTTTCTTTTCAAATGTTTCTGTAGTGCTTAGTTCATATTCGTTTATATTTGCGATGTCGTGAGTATTCACATCTCGGACGTTGAATGGTCGCCACACTTTTGGTCATCGTACAAACGCAAACAGTTGCTCAAAAGGTGGACCGGAATTCAACGGACGTCAACAAATCGCGCTCTCTCTGATCTTTTATGAAGAAAAAATTCCACAACGTGCTAAAAAACTGAACAAAAAAGGCATAGCGTCATAGAAAAAGTTACGGACGGTTACAAATTAGCTGTTAAATGTAGTTAATTTGTGTCAAAACGTTTCACGAATTTATTAGGGCTTTCGTTGAGAACGTTTAGTAGCAGACGTTTTTGGTGCCGAGCGCCTATACAGCTAAGTGGGTTGATGTTTTGCAGTTTTGTGTCAGCTCTCTCTATTGCTGATAAGGTGTGTTTGCTTGTCTATGTCTGTGTATGCATTTTTATGTATATGCAGGTACATGTATGCCTATGAATGTCTTCAGATGTGTATACATGTGTGTATAGACTTATTTTATTGGTGAGTAATAGAGACAGTAAGGACGCAACATTAATAAAGGATATGTCTGAGTCGTGAATCCAATTCTCTTTCCGTAATTTCTGACACAGGCACTACTCGTGTGCTAATTAGTAAAAGCTAGTAGGAACATAACCGAGCACCACTAGGCTTGATTGGTTCTTTTTGCGCACTATTGGCTAGTCAGTGGGCTAAAGTTTTCTACATGGCTGTTCTTTCCAAGAAAGCAGCCGCGCCTTGTTCATCAAACTCAACTCAATTTTACTCTTAGATAAGCTTCCAAAAGGAATATAGAAAAATTTTGACAACATAAGGGTTTTGCTCTTTTTTCACTTTGTCATCTCTAGGCAAGGCATCATAAATGCTCCACCAGCTATCGAGATTTTTTTCTTTAGATAAGTCTGATAAAAACAAGTTACGATAAAAAATAAGCTCAATATTCCATTAAGAGCGCTACTGTGCTCAAAATAGAGGCATGATTTTTAGCACATACAGATTACGATCACCTCTGATCCTTTCTAGAAGCAAGATAGTTTGAAAAAGAGAACAAATGAAACATTATAGTGATAGTGACAGCTTCGGGTCAATGGGCCTCACCTATAAAAGAACATATATGCAGGAAGAAATAGATTGCAAGAATTCGAGAATTGTTATGTGGAATGCGACAATTGTCTGTTCGATGAAGCAAAACATTGTAACTCTAAAGAAAGCTTTTAGAAAAAGTGGTTCTTAAATAGCAAGTGGATGAGCAGAGCCTAGAGGAATGACCATATCTTTCCGTGATCACGTTAGTCTGTTCCAAACTCAGAGGAGTTCAAATAGATATGTTGAGCATTTAGACTTCATAATTGTGAAATTTATGCGCAGTTTTGAGAGCTCAGGAACTATTTGGGTTCGCTGTGACTAAGCTCTATTATCGGCTTTGGGCTAATGACTAACCAGATATATTCAAGGGAGGTTACGGCAGTGAAGAATGAAAGTAGATGGATGTCCTTGTCCTTCAGCTTATGTCACCTATAATCCTGTTCATCATCGACTCAGTCGAGCGACAAAAGAAGGTCTTTATTCCTTCCCGTTGTTCGTCGAAGAATTCAAGCAGATCAGTGTGCATATTTAGCTCGAGAGACACGAAAAGTGCCAAATTTTAACACTAAGTCTTTCGTTCCATCGTTTTTTGATCGGAACGAAGCCACTATACTAGCTTGCCAGACTGCTATGCTGTGAATATGCTCCTAGCCTAGTTTTCCTCGGAACATCCACACAACTGCGGTGAAGCTCATTAATAGCAAAACCGAAGTTTTCAGCACAGTGAATATGTGGCTCGAAATGTTTCTTCAGGTAGCCATGCAACAGAATATAGCAGGTGAAGTGGAGAATCTCTAAACCACCGGTGGACCACTCCGGTCAGTTCGATCGCTATGGGCCAGCGATTTGTTTGCATCGCAAATTCGTTGAATTATGGATTGCCGAAAACCGCTTTTACCACATATCCTTTCACCGTGTTCATTTGAGACTTCTTTCTCGCTTAATTCCTTTTTAAGCTGTTACTTTAATGAGTAATATCATGCAAATTTTGTCTGGTACGCATGTCCTGCAATACACACGTGGTATTCTGTTCGGCCCTCCGTCCTGAGCTCACTAAACCTTCCATCCTCTTGGGTCGGAAAGTTAGTACAACACTTGTTTGCGTGAATAACAGCACTAGCTTGATAGGTTGCTAAGCTTCCGCAAGTAAATATATAAGTCAGGTATCTATTAAGGGTCTCTAACTATGCTTAATGAAGTTGAATACATGGCGCACCCTGAGGAATTGATCAAAACCGAGAGCTTTGCTCTTTATCCTTCTACGCTTTAGCTAGATATAAGAAATTTTTAAAGTGACGACTAAATTTTGAGCCAAAAAATGCAGCAAAGCATATTGCGGTAAGGTCACTAAAG